ACTAGATTTAACATGGCAGAGAAGTAGCTGATGAGGATTTTCAGAATTTTGGCTCAAAAGAAATCCCAGGCGGTTGTCTTGGGGAAACAGTTTTAGTTGTACCTTGTAAAGTTTAGTGCTGCTAACCTTTATGTTACCACCCTGAGATGGTTCATTGCTGGGGACAGGTAAAGATGCTTAATGGATTGAAATGAAGGTAACGGCTTTTCTTGGTGAGGTGCTTCTCTTAGAAACAGGAAATGGGAGCAGTGGGTGCTTTTGGATCAAAACCACATTAGACTCACATTTCCTTTGGTGCTTGCCAGGGCTGTTGTCCAGGTTATCCTTGTGGTTCGTCAGCAACTCTTTTACCTTTTATATGGCACGCCATCCTAGGATGAGGAATGTTTCTGGAGAAGTAATACTTTTCCCCTGAGGAGCTAAACTGAGAGTAGCACTGGTTGCCCTTCCACATGTTGTGGTTGAACTGAGGTTCACAAAATGACTTGAAATTGGTATTTGTTGCATAACCTTTCGTATTCTCTTGTGGAGTGTCTTTCTGCAGAGCAGGTTGGCTCTTCTGCTGATGGCTTGAGGCCAAATGCTGGAGATGAAGTAAAGAATGTGAACTCACAGAAAGTGAAATGTGGTGGAAACTTTGATTCCTATTTGTCTTGTTATTTTTACTTATTCCATATACAGTTTGGAGAAGCTGTAAACACAGGAGGATGGAAGCAAGCTACGTACTGCTCCACCACTAAGTGGCTACCTTGAGCAACCAATGCTGCTTGTGGGCACTTTCCATTTGCTTTAATTTTCTTGCAGTGCATACTCAACATAGTGTATAAAGTAACTTGTAGGAGTACAAGATACTGACTTTTTTCTACGGCTAATAATCCTACTTACGCTTTTATGTTAGCTCATGTCATTAAGTCCTTTGTTGCTTTTTCAGCAGTTCTCAGTCTGTAGCTGGAAAGCATGTAAGTGATGATGTAAGGGGCAGGAAGGTCTAACTACCTGAGAAGCAGCACTGTAGAGGACCTTCTTTGCAGCAGGATGCTAGCTCCGCAGCACCTTTTTGCTAGCTGCCACAGGTAATGTACCCCCTGGAGCACGAATCTTTCCTTCAGAAAAGCCTTCAGCTGTGTGGGCAGCAACTCAGCTTGTCTGATCTCCTGAGCAGCTGTGGCTTCAGGGTATGGGAGAGTCTAGAAACACTCCTGTTGACGCTGCTTGCCATGGCAGCAGCCCAGCCATGCCTTTTGGGTGTCATTAGCAGAGGGAAGAGATTGTGTACCTTCAGCTCATCCTTTAAGTTTTTAGCACTCTTTCACTGAGAATATTCATCATCAAAAATAACCACTTTCCACAGAGAGTTAATATTTGCATGCAGACACAGGAAAATAAGGCTGTGCACAGGGCTATAAAATCACCTGAGCTTGGTTATTGCCAGATATGTTTCCAATGGTGCTTTGCCCACAGAAGTGAGATTCCTGCTACACTGAGGTTGCAACTCCAGTACACTTCTCAGGTCGCCTCAGAAATCCTTCAAGTTTTCAAGCATTATTATATCAACTCAGGCAGGATTATATAAACTCACACATTATTATATTAACTCAGCCCCAGGATATTTTGTGTGCCTCAGTTTCACAGGCTCTTCTTTCCTTACCACTGCTCATATTCCAGAAAGTAGCTATCAGAGATGACTTTTTCCTCCCTGTGATAGTGGACCAGATCAGTGCTTTTGATCTCACTGAGGGGACTTAGCAGCCCCTTAGCTTGTGGCCTCCAGATGCGACTCTTTCAGGACATTGTACCTGCCAGTGACTGCCATTCATTTCATTTTCTGTGTTGCTGGTTTTGCAAGCCATGTTGGGAAGGCTAAGAGAAGGATAAAAGAGAAGGATAAAAGCTTTGCATCTGATATCAACAATAAAGTAGATTTAAGTTTCTTGTAGTGATTTTAAGGTCTTTTGCAGAAGAATGGGGAACATTCCATTTTTTTGTACTCAGAGAAATGGGAATATGTGGCATCCACAAGAAGTTGGAGAAGAGCAAAAAACTGCAGAAGTGTGGGAAGGGGATTTTTTACACTTGGAGAGGTAGAAGAGGAGTGTGACTGCTGTGGTAGAAGAGGAGTGTGCCACAATGAGAAATGTTTGGATAACTTGCAGGCTAAGACACTGTTGAATCTAGAAGATAGCTGATAGCAGAAGCTCTACAGAAGGGTCCATGGAGCTGCTAGCTTCTGATCCCACAGTACTTTGTTTCTGAAAGTACTTTCATCAATCCTTTATAAATAAAGCCAACAAGGTTGGCATGAAGTTGTGGGTCTCATTCCTGATGAATCCTCTGTGCCTATGGATGGGGGAAGAGCACTAGAGAGCCAGAGTTAACAGAAAATACCTGCACCTTTGCTACATGTAAGAGACAGCAGGGCATTGTTGGAATGAGGAATTCAAGAAATTCAAAGGATGTGGGAGGAACTGCAAGGCAGAATTCTTTGATACTGCTGTTCAGTTAATTTTTGCATCAACTATGATAACAAAATGTCTTCCTGGAGACCGTGACTGTCTGCCTCAGTAATTTGCCGGCAGCGCCAGCTTGGGTGGGAATGTTGATCTGTTTTAGGATAGAAAGTCTCTGCAGAGGGGTCTGAACAGGCTGGATAAATGGGCTGTGGCAAATTGTATGAGGTTCAACAAGGCAAAGTACCAAGTCATGCACTTTGGTCATGACAACCCTGTGCAATGCTACAGGCTTGGGAAAGAGTGGCTGGAAAGCTGCTCGGTGGAAAAGGACTTGGGGGTGTTGGTCAACAGCCAGATGAACATGAGCCAGCTTGTGCCCGGGTGGCCAAGGCCAATGGTATTCTGGCTTGTACCTGCCTGAGGTTACATACGTCTGCAGTATTTCTCCCTATTTCCTATTCCAGTACCCCTCTTGCATTAATTAGTCATACAGGCGAACCTGAGAGAGCACTGTATTTAGTAAGTGCTAGTCAGGTTATATAGAATCATAAAATATGATTCTATATGCAGTATTTAATCGCTTTTTTGCTTCTTTCTGAAGGAACGGTCTTATTTTCAGAATGCTGGGCTATATTTGTTTTGCCTGTCAAGGTTTGGGCAGTGGGGGAGCTACAGAGGCGGTTTGTGTGAGAAGTTGCCAGGAGCTTTCTCATGTCCAGTAGAGCCAATGCCAGCCGGATCCAAGAAGGACCCACCACTGGCCCAGGCTGAGCCCATCAGCGAGAGTGGTAACACCTCTGGGATAACGTATTTCAGACGGGGAAAAAGTTACTGCACAAGAACAGATACAGCCAGAGAAAGGATTGAGAATATATGAGTGAAACAGCTCTGCAGATAGCAAGGTCAGTGCAGAAGAAGGGGAAAGTGCACCAGGTGCTGGAGCAGAGGTTCCCCTGCAGCCCATGGAGGTCCATGGTGGAGCGGATACCCACCTGTAGCCCAGGGAGGACCCTATGCCAGAGCAGGGGGATGCCTAAAGGAGGCAGTGACCCTGCTGGGAAGCCTATGCTGGAGCAGGCTTCTGGCAGGACCTGTGGCCCTGTGGAGAGAGGAGCCTATGCTGGAGCTGATTTGCTGCAGGACTTGTGACCCTGTGGGCAGACCCACACTGGAGCAGTCTGTTCCTGAAGGATTGCACCCTGTGGAAGGGACCCACGCTGGAGCAGTCTGTTCCTGAAGGACTGCGCCCCATGGAAGGGACCCACACTGGAGCAGTTCATGAAGAACTGCAGCCCACGGGAAGGCAGGCCTGTCTCCCATGGGAGGGACCCCACGGTGGAGCACAGAAAGAGTGGGAGGAGTGTTCCCACTGAGGAGGAAGGAGCAACAGAGACAACATGGTGAACTGACCGCAGCCCCAATTCCCTATCCCCCAGTCTTGGCAAGGGAAAGGAGGTAGAGAACTGCGGAGTGAAATGAAGCCTGGGAAGAAGGTATGGGTAGGGGGAAGGTGATTTTAAGATTTGGTTTTATTTCTCTGTTATCCTGCTCTGATTTGATTGGTAGTAAATTAAACTGACTTCCTTAGTTGAGTCTGCTTTGCCTTTAATGGTAGCTGCTGAGTGATCTCCCTGTCCTTACCTCAACCCGTGAGCCTTTTGTCATACGTTCTCTCCCCTGTTCAGCTGCAGAGGGGAGTGATAGAGCAGCTTTGGTGGGCAGCTGCCATCCAGCCAGGGTCAACCCACGATGTGGCATAATTTGAAAGTAAATGAGGCTTGAAATGCTCAGCAGAGGCACGCAGTGCTCATGTCCACCCAACCCCTTGCACCAGGACATTGTGCCAGGTGAGGGCAGGTACATTGGTGCAGGAGCAGTGATGGGCCTGTGCTGGTGGATGTCCATGGAGCCCATTGGTCAGGCAATCACTCACAAATGGAGCAGGGTGTTGCACATCTTAAGAAACATGCATCCTCTCATGCATCCCCTTCTCTGTGACTAATTTTTGTCATCGATATGATCAGCACATTGGCCTTGGTCACTGTTCGCTGAAACATTCCAACAGATTAATGAGTACCTGGACTCTGAAACTACAGGACTGGGAACAGGCACAGCCACAGCCAGTGTATGTTTCTTAAGCAGCTTGCACAACAGCATGTTTGAACGTGTTAACTGGGCTCTTACGAGTGTCACCAAAGTAATACAAAGTAAACCTTCATGTTCTCACTGCATCCCTGCTGCTATGAATTCAAGAGCCACTCTTCCCTTTTCTCTTTGCAGCTGCAGTGTCAATGGGAGCAGCGGGTTTGGAGGGCAGCCTACCAGAGAGGTGGAAATAGGGGACACCTTCCAGCCAAGGCTTTTGCTTTCTTCCTGTGATGTTGAGGACAACCCTAGGGAAGGTATGAAAAGGTGGAGAAGAGTGTGACAAAGGAGTAAGGGAGACAAAAGCACTATGAAGAGTGAGGTTTCAGCATGTGGGTGGTTTATTTTCATTCTGGCACTTTGACTAAGGGGTGGGACTCTGAGCTGGGAGGCTTGGCTAAAAGGTCAGAGCAGTGCACTTGCAGCAGCACTTCACAAGAGCAGCTTCCAGTGCACAGACAGGATTTGGGGTATCAGCAACCTGACTGCTTAGCAGCTGACTGAATTCTTGGCGCAAAGAATCGGTGGTGGCAGGATTTGAGACAGACACACTGGTCAACATGAGCACGGCAGGCAAAGTAAGCACAAATTTATATTAGAAGTTTCTTTCCTGCAGCTGAGTAGTGCATGTTTAAATGCAGTTTCTTTGCTGGGACACCCTCAGTTCTGGTGGTATAGCACAGATGAGAGTTTAAGAGGAAGCAGGTGCAGGAGAGCAGCCCTTACTTGTGGGCAACTGTACTCTCCTACAAAATGGTTTTAAATGAGAAAGAATATAAAATGTAAAATCAAGAACATTATTTATTTATTTATTTAAGCACTGAGGCAACATGAGGTAACAGCACCAGGATAAGAATAACCTTCCCCAGCATTAGCAAACTATTTTTAATCCCTGATTGGACAGTTTGAAACGTGATGCAGTGTAGTAAGTGTTCAGATCAATGTATTTTATCAGCTCCAGCAGTTTCTATTCTGAGATCCCGCAGTGGTTTAAGCTATTTTTAGCTTCTTTATAACTCATATCAGTTTGTTTTCTAAAAAAAACCCATAGTTAATATTGTGTTACATTTTGGGGTGTAATTGTGATGATGTTAGAACAGTCATTAAATTTCAATATGTTCATAACAACTCTGGAGCTTAATCTAATGTTGACCAAAAGTAAGTATTATATGCATCAGTATAAGCATATGTATCAGTACTGAGCTGGAACTGAAATGAGTATTTGCATCTTTGCTAGAAAGTGAGAAGAGAGATGTAGGTGAATTCCACTGCTGAAGACAGTATATGTTGCTTCTTCCACTACCTGAGAGATACTGACTCAGAGACATGCAAGCAAGGTCGATGGACAGGAGCCCAGACCCTAGAAAACGACTCAAGGCCTATGCCTTGCTGTAATATGCCTTAAGAAAGTATGGGGATCGATCTTGCTGTTACTGCCAGCTGTCTTCACTATTTTAAAGCCACACAAAACAAGAGGGGACAAAAAATAAATGCTCTCTTTGAGATACCACAAACGCAAAATAAACTGTAGATCACTTGTAGGCAAATTCACCAAGTCTGGGGTTTTTCCCTGTAGTTTTCTTGCTCCTCCCCTGAAATATGAGCTGGCGTTTCACATGCAGAAATATAAGATTCTGTCTGTGGTGACTTGCAAGTGCCGTTCCCTTTTTCTTTGCTTTGTTTGCAGGTTATTAAATGCAAAGCAGCAGTAATGTGGGAAGCCAATAAACCATTTTCTATTGAGGAAGTGGAAGTTGCCCCACCAAAAGCGCACGAAGTTCGCATAAAGGTACTAAAAAATAAAAATTAAAACAACTATTATTCTATCTTGCTGTTTATCAGGATTATTTCTATAGATTTTGAGGATCCAGTCAGAAAACATTTAATAGCTGAGTAGTTAGTATTCAGTAGTTACTATTCAGTTACTGTTCAGTAGTTACTATTCCTATGGAACATGCTTCGAATCCTGACTTTGATCATGAGGGTCTTTTTAAAACGAAAAAAAAACTTTTTAGGGTTAGGTTTTTTGTTTCCTAAGACATTTGTGCTTCTTATAGGCTGAAGAAATCACAGCACAAGGCAAAGATCTGATTCTTCCATAGTATGGAGCAAGAAATTCTCTTTTACTTTGAGTCTATGCTAGGAAATAGCTCAGTAGGGTGGGAGCTTCCTTTTTTAACTGAGTGCTGAGCGTCTCTCACAATTCAGGACCTTTCTCAGTGGAATTCAGCAGCTGTTTTTTATTTTTGAGCAGTTTCAAGTGTTATGCCAGTGAGAAGAACCCTCTCATGGGGTTGACAACTCCATTTGTCAGAACAAAAGCTGCAAAGACATACCTGAATGTTTCAGAAGAAATAATGCTACTGTGCTACCTGCAAGAAAAGGCAAATGTGGCATAAAATACCATGTGTCGCATCAATTTTTGTATGGATGACATATACATATATTTAAAATACATAAATAACATGTAATAATTAAAATGTAATGGTATATAATGCCATGCCATTGTATAATACATATTTTATGTAACATATCTATTATATATTATAATATCATTTAAAATAAGGAATAGAAAATGTATATAATATTTCTAGGTTTATAAATACTATTTGATGGTTAATTTATATTGACTTGACATGGTAATATTTCTGCAATATTGCAAACTTTTTCTATTTATGTATTTAGCTACAAATATTGAAATATTTTATTGCATGCTGTTCTTCATATATGATTACATTGCTAGAACATGGGTCCTGCCAGATAATCAATGACACTTCCTACGGAGCTCAGTAATGCATAGCAAACATTCCCAAAGGAGCCTTGCTTTGTAGATTAAAGACTCATGCAACCCATGAAAATCATGAATCACACAAACAGAAGTGTTTTCCCTGTAGTTATTTTGTGTATATGTGATTTTGGAGGGAAGCAAATTACTTCTCCAAATGTATGATACCATTTCACTTCCATATATGACATGGCATAGTTAAATGCTGACATATTCTTGTCTTTCTTCTAAATCAGATCGTGGCCACAGGGATCTGTCGCTCTGATGACCATGTGATAACTGGTGCACTGGTTATGCCTTTTCCAATAATTCTTGGGCATGAAGCAGCTGGTATTGTGGAGAGTGTTGGGCAGGGAGTAACTTCAATCAAACCAGGTGTGAAACTGCACTGAACACAAACCCTCTGCTGAGTTTCCTATTTCCTGACACTTCTGTCTAAGTCAAAGATGATTACATGCATAAGTGCTTGTATTGCAGAGGAAAATGCTCCAACTCTGATTTTTTTCGAGGATACCTTAAAGGATGCTATGTGGTGTCTACATCTTTTTGTGTTACCAATCTTGTTTTATTTTCAGATTTTCTATTCAATTTCTTTGATTTTGGGAAAAACATCTGCAGCTTGCTTTCTACCTACATAGCACTTTTCTTGTCATGGGATTAAGAACAGATTCTTTGCTCTTTGACACAGAAAATCAGGTATTACAGGTTCTCTAACCCCGGTTTATACAGCTCATCTCAAGAGTAAGGTAAAGCAAAGCACTAGTCAACATGTCAAAACACTTTCTTTCAATTCTCCTACCCCTTAAATAATCCACTGACTTCAGCAGACCAGAGCTCAGGTCTTTGTGTTCCATTACTTCATTTCAAAGATATCAGGGTATGACTGCGGTGCTCACCCTGCTGCAGGCTTTGCTTTTGCCTTGCATAGTACCAGTGCAGGTGAGACAACACTGCTCACTGAGAGATGGGCTGCTTTGAAGAGGACACTTCTCTGGACCGGCTGCTCCTCTCACTACACTCCCTTTGAACCACAGTGGGTAGAAAGGGAAGTTAGTGAAAGATGCTGATGTTCCTTCCACTGCTGCAAGATGAGACAGCATTTCTGTACATCTGTATGGGACCAAACAGACTCTAATAAGGGCTAAATTATTAACAGAAATTATGCAGTGAACAAAATCTGCCCAGTAGTGCTTGATTTTATCCAGGCAGTTTGTTACAGTATCTAAGTAGTTAATTTTTAACACCTCCATATTCCCAATGTCTTTTTACTGACAACAAATATGTAGTCTGTCCAAAGCAGGTTGGTATGTGAGATAATAAAAAGTTTTACTTGAGATTTCTGCTTTAGCTCAAAAAAAATATGTATATTCAGTGATAGCTCTAGCTGCTTTTTCTCTTACATCTGGCTTCATAAATCACTCAGTTGTCTAATTCTAGCTGCCACGTGTTTCCAGGTGAAACAGCAGGCCTGAACACACACAAAATCGTGTTTCTTGGATGTTGCTTAGTTTACACCTTCAAGTTCTAAAAACGACCACCAAGACGCGCAAAGTTTCTTTAACAGAATGCTTACTAAGCCTGTGTCACAGTTCTAAGTTAACTGAGGGCCGGGGCAGAGGGGGAGCATTTCATGTTCTGTCGGTATTTTCCATGTTTTAGTGGTAATCAAAGATTTCCCTTGCCTTTCAATGTATCAAGGATTAGCCACATTTTAGAGCTGCCAAATCACAAATTGATCTCTGTTAGGGGTTACCTGTTTAGAGATTATGAGGGATTTACCACACATCATTGCTGTGGAAAATGCATAGCAGTAAAAATCGCACTGGGAAGCTATGTGCTACTTTGTCCATCATATAAGAGTGCTAGGGAATGAGAGATGTCTTAGCCTGTGTGTGTCACTGCTTCTCTGACAAACATTTTACCTGCTTTACTCCAATGCAACAGTAAAATAGAAAAGAGACTCAAGAGGGTTGGTAGATTAATGCTCAATTTCCCGTTGTCTGTATGCACAATTTACAGCTGTGTTATCTTGGCCCTCCAATCTACTGTCTCAGTGGGTGCCAATTTTTATCTCAGTTTCTTTACCTGTGTATTACTATTTCCCTTTCAAGTAGAAGATTCAATAAACTGCTGAATGAGTACTTCGGGAATGTCAGTAGCTAACAGAGTTTTATGACATAGCTCAGATTCAGTTCTGTGGCAGACACCAAGAATTTTGTGTACTGAAATCAGTTGTCATAACTTTGCCCTAGTTAGGTGCTTTATAACAGAGAGAGACAGTGTATCCTCCAAGGGCAGCAGAAGGAAGTAAAACCAGCACTGCATTCCTAGCACATATTTGCTTATGGATTAAATATACTTGCTTCATGTTTTTATGTGCATGCTTCTTGTTTGCCTTTTTAAATCCTGTCATTACTATATTATTTCTAGGAGATAAGGTTATTCCACTCTTTGTGCCGTCCTGTGGGGAGTGCAGTAGTTGCTTAAGTGCCAAGGGTAATCTGTGCATCAAAAATGAGTGAGTTTTCCTGGGTCACCTACAACCCTTATTTGACTTTGATTTATACAAAGCTGATCACACTCAACAGATTTAACTTGTCATTATTTCTGTTCATCTTTCAAACAGCATTTCTTCGGCTGCTGGATTAATGCTTGATGGCACAACTAGATTCACCTGTAAAGGAAAAGCAATTCACCATTTTGTGGGTACCAGCACCTTCACTGAATACACAGTAGTGCATGAAGCTTCTGTAGCCAAAATCGATTCTGCTGCTCCTCTGGAAAAGGTTTTTCTAATTGGCTGTGGATTTTCAACTGGTTATGGGGCTGCTGTGCAGACTGCCAAGGTAACTATCATGGTGGGTGTTTCTGGTAACTCATAGCGGCCTATTCAGGATTGTATGGCCTGCATGTGGGGTATCAGCAGAGCAGCCAGGAGGTATAGACTCTGTTGCAGAGTTCAGGGTGAAAGGAAGATACTCGGGTTTTGCCTACTTCAGTTTCTGTCTCTCTAAGGTACTGAGAAGCCTTCAAATCAAAATCCAGTAAAAATGCATATTACCATCTCTTAATTTTTCTCTCATGGCTTTATCAGCCCTAGAAAAAACATTACAAAGGAGCTGATTTGTTTTATTGTAGCTGAAATCTAGGAAGCCTATATCTGTAACACTCAGAATTCGTAGCAATACACAAATGTGACTTTTACAGCTGTCATTGTCTCCAGTGGCACTACAGATCTTAACACCATTGAAATATAAAGCATTGTAAAAAAAACATGTCTCTGAACCTGAAGCTGAGAAGAGTGATGAAAATCTGGTCTCAGAAATGTATTTTAGGGTAATTTATCTTAGTCACATGTAGGATTATAACAGTATAGCTGGCTGCTGCACTAGTAGGTATGTATGTGCAAATTCCTTCTCAGCAGGTAATCTCTAAATTACGAGAACTAGCTTAACTGAAAACATGTTGGTAGTAAGAAAATGCATTGTACTTTACATAGACTGTTAGAGTATGTCATGTTTGTATGGGTATTACAGGTGGAACCAGGCTCCAGCTGTGCCGTCTTTGGCCTTGGAGGAGTTGGCCTCTCTGTTATCATGGGCTGCAAGGTGGCTGGAGCTTCCCGCATCATTGCTGTTGATATCAATAGTGACAAGTTTGCCAAGGCCAAAGAACTGGGAGCCACAGACTGCGTCAACCCTAGAGATTTCAAGAAGCCTATTCACGAGGTGTTGATCGAAATGACTGGCCATGGTGTGGACTACGCCTTTGAGGTTGTCGGCCGTATTGACACCATGGTATGCAACCAAAAGATGTCATCAAATGAGGCATTAGTGTGTTAGGTCTCACTAAGCACCAAGGTTGAGGAGCTGAGAGCCACTAGCAAAGTGTCAGGCTACCTTCAAACCTATTAGTTCCAGCTATCTGCCACTGAGATGCAGGGGCATGCTCAAAAACTTAGGGCAGAGAGCTTGAGCATAGTCCCCTGGCCTAACCAGGGTGGCTAAATTTCACATAGCCCACTGTCTGCTTTCCAGCAGTGGCTTATCGCTAATGTCTAAGACAAAATGGGGAGGGAGAACAAAGTTAGGATGTATCTAACCCCTGACAGCAAACACAGTGGTGTGAGCAGATTCAATGGAAACTGTTTGGTGTGGTTTCAGTTACAAAAAATGAATTGCAAGCAGAGCCCTGCGAGGAGGAGGAATGCAAACTTTTGGGCCTCAGCAGCAAATCTTCTGTGACTCTGGGTGTCCCTCTGTTCCCAATGCAGACCGCAGCCTTGGCCTGTTGCCATTACAACTGTGGAGTCAGTGTGATTGTGGGAGTGCCTCCTGCAGCACAGAAGATCACTTTTGACCCCATGCTCCTCTTCACTGGTCGCACCTGGAAAGGCTCTGTCTTTGGAGGTGAGGGCTTGGAAAGAAGTGGTTTAATTGGCTTGGGAAACTTGTGAGTTACCTTGAATGAAATAGCATATGTATAAATTCATTGCTTAGGTTGTCCTGCTGGAAGTAATATTGATAGCTGTTTTGCTGACACAGAAGCACAAAGGGAATTAGTTATGGAAAGTGTTAGTTAATGGTGAGAGAAAAAGAGAGAAAACCAGAGACAGAGGCAGGGGAGAAGAAGCAGAGAAGAGACAAGAGGAAGAGAAAAAGACAAAAAAAGTAGGAAAAAAAATAGTGGGGAAGAGGAGAAAGGAAATAAAGGGGGGAATGAGAAAAAAAAGGGAGGGAGAAAGGTAGAAGGAGAGAGGAAAATGAGAGGGAGGGGAGGGAGGAGAAGAGATAGAAAAGAAAAAACACATAAGGAGAAAGAAAGGAGGAAAGATAAGAGAAATGGACAAAGGAAGATAAAGCTTGGCAAGCCCAAGCTCACTCAACACAAAGCTGAAGGCCACCAAAAACGTGGCTCCAGCAGCAGGTTTTCTCATTCCCAGCCACTTCCTCTTATGTATTCAATAGACACCTGAATAGAATAGCAGAGACAGATTAGGTTCCTGTGGAAGGGCATCTGATTGTTTGAGACAGTTTTATCTAGTACTGCTTGAAAGAAAAAAGAGGCATATCTGCCCCCTGCCCCCCTCAGTTTTGATCAGTCAATCCAGTTTCCAGTTACCAACATGGATGTCCCCACTCTGGCTTTTGTATGATACGTGGCTTAGTGAGCAACAGACATCAACAGACAAGTTGAAAGAGTATTTAATGTGGGGAAGAGTTTGGATTCTGGAAAGATTAACATTTTTACAGGTCTTCCACCAGTAAAGCTGCACTTCAACCCATGTTTTCTGCTGTGCACTCTGTGTTACAGAGGTAAAGACATGCTGCAGCATTTCATCATGCTGTTCTCTTATTGAAAGTTTACCTAAAACTTTAAGCTGCCAATGGGTTTATGTATTTCCCAAGCATTTAATGTTTCATTATCCATTATCTGTGGGTTTTTTTTCAGGCTGGAAGAGTAAAGATTCAGTCCCTAAACTGGTTGCTGACTACATGAAGAAAAAATTTGTTCTGGATCCATTAATAACTCACAGACTTCATTTCACTAAAATCAATGAAGGATTTGATCTGCTAAGGACAGGGAAGAGGTAAACCATATTTAATTGTAAAGGTTCTGTATAAATAACCTAAAGGAGGTGTATGGTAATGCAGAGTATGACTTCATGGTGAGGAAGGGGAATGGCAACACACTACATCCCTTAATCTTGCCCAGTATGGTTCCATGGGTTGCAGTTGTAGTGATACAGCCAGCAAAGCTTTAGCTTTTGAAATACATTGAGCCCTGTCTTTCCTTGTAGAGGAATTTTCATATTCTGGTTTGAGCAAAGACACTGGGTCGCAGAGGAAGAAAAGACCCCAGCAGTGAGGAAGTCTGTGCCCACTACCCATAGGAAAAGAGCACACAAACAAGGGAGCTTGGGAATGCCAAGCTGTGGAGTGCCAGGGTCAACTACATCACATCTGAAGAAACATCTTAGACTGAGGAGCAGGAGCACAGAAATAGACAATATTTACTAGAAGAGCAATTCACTATTCCTCTGAATTTTGGAGCTTTTCATGAAAGAAAGTACTTGGTGTATACAAACATTGCAAACTCAGAATTTAGCTCTCATGCCTTCCTCAAATCTTGTGAGAGTTCAGCTCAGACTGTTTTCATGGGGTGTTGAAATTGGAAATATTGTTTGCCAGAGACATTTGACAAGATTTGCATGGGAATAATTGGAAATTCTTGGCAGAAGTGGGAAATACATGTGTGTACCTTAGTACATGTGGGGACTATACCCTGTATAACTTATGCAGTCTGGAGAATTACATTCACATTTTCTTTTCATTGTCATTTGCTGGCAGTTATTTTAGGTGTTACTTGCTCTAAATGTATAAAGCATGTAACAAAAGAATTTAGCCCCTGCGGTTTGTTCTAAGGTTCTAACTACACAGCACGCATGTCATTTTTTGACTGTCCTTATTTTAGATGAGCTGTAAATGTCAGTTTTAGGTCTAGTGTAGCAAATGGGAAAGCAATGAGGACAGAGACGCTATCAGCTTTGCTAAAAGACTGGCAGTTCGCCTGAAGACAGAGGCCTGTTGCAGCTGACCATCATCACTAGATGAAACACTTCGGTGTTTGAATACAGAACAAGCTGTACCACTCAGCGGTTACCCTTAGAGCCATTCCTAACTGCAAAGACGTGTCTCAGCCCCACTCCAAGGACTTCCCAGGCTCTGTCTAGTGATGAGTTTCCAGGAGCCCCGAGTTCATGAGTGAAGGCTGTGCAGTCTTGCATGACTGTTGTTCTCTGCAGTACAGTTTGCCCATCTGCTTTGCAGTCTTGCTGCAGTGTGGGCTGGGGTGTGCAAGGAGGGAATACCCTGGCTGACAGCATTAGCTTGGATTAGCAGAGAAAACAGCAGTGTTTTTCTGATGTTAGCCCAGGGGCTTATCTACAGCCACTAACTTGTCACTTTATATTGCAGTATTCGCACTGTCCTGGTGTTTCAGGATTCCTAATTGTTAACAGCAGATGGCTTAGCCCCAATACAAACTTCATTATCCTCCAATACAACTGGTATGACGCACAAACCAAGATGTTTCTGAAAGGTCCATCACTTTCCCTTGGAACAAAAGGATCAAGCTCAAACCCCAGACTTCAAGCACAGTGTTTATAAATGAAATAATCTTTTTCCTTCTGCCTCTTTCTACTGATTCTTGCTTTAAATCCTCTTTACACAGAAGAAATTGTGCTGCACTTTTCCTCTAATAGCATATTATGAATGACAGGACTTGCTGCTGTCACAGGTGTTAGAGAATGTTTGGATTTTTTAAATGGCCTTTAATATGCAATCTTTTAATAAAAGCAAAATGAAGGGCTTTTATAACACTGCGGCTCAGCATGGTAAAACTCTAGGTCAGAACTGTGTCCAGCCTGAATTATTTTAGCATTCCATTACTTGACAGGCAAGGAAATTACTACAGAGATTAAAATTTATGGTGACCTTGCATTTGAATTAAAAATTTCAGTTAAGGATGTTTCAGTAAATCAAAGACTTACACCCTGAAGAATGTCTTCCCACATTGTGAGTGCTGTTCTTTTGTTTGGTTGGTTTAACCTTTGTATCTCTTTCTTAGTTGTTTTACCAGTATAGTTTTAAATCTTCAGCCAATTTATACAAGTGCCTCTGGTGCTTGGGAAACAATGTGAAGAAATATGAATGTGCATCAAGTATTGTTATTTGTTTCCATTAAATAAAGAGGCAGTGTATTAACCATTAAATCTAAATACAGAGTAAATGGGAAGAAACATGTGACTGGTAACAGTTTGCAAGTAATTGAACACAAAGCATCTTACTGCTTTCTGCGTTTGCAATGAGGAAACAGGAGCAGAGGCTATTTCTATCTTGGTATATGTAATCAACATTAACTTATCTCTTGAAGTTCTACTCAGAGCTTGCAGGCACTCGTGGGCATGGTAACTGGGCAGCAAAGCCTGTGAAGCAAGGGGACTCTGTGCTAATGATGACTGATGTGTTTGTGTCAGCAGAAAGAGTCCTTGAGCAGCCCAGCTGGGTTAATGATTTGAGGATGAGTTCACCCAGAGATTAGACTTTAACAGAAGATCCTTAAACACGTGTGTATAAAACTCCGTTCACACAGCAATTAAGACCCAAACTTCAGTCCTTTGTTTCTGTGGGGCTACCTGTGCAGTCAGGTGCGAAGACTTTTTCTGGCCCATAAAATAATTCTTTTCACATGCAGTTCAGTTGAAGAGTTCTCCTCTCTTTCAAGGCAGGTTGTGTGAGAATCAACAGTGTGAATGGAATCACTATTCAAAGCAAAATGAGACAGGGTTTAATTCCACTTTATGTCATCAGATCTCATCTGTAGTAACATGGATTCAGTAGAAACAAAAACTTAATAATATTTCAATTCTCAGAGTATTTTAGCAAAATGTTTTCTGTGGAGGCCAAGCTACTTTATTGTATATTTAACTCCTGAATTAAACAGAAGCCAAAGGAAGCCTGTTTTAACCTAGCTTGTGAGGACAGAAAGAAGGAGCATGGAGAGATAAAGTATCCTCCGTATGCCAGATAAAAGTTTTTTCCAAGGCATTCCCTACTGCATTAAGGGTAGAGGGCATAATAGCAGTCTTGAGAGTAGAAGAATAAAATCAATAATATTGCCAGGGAATAAAGTACAACAAACCTCCTCGCTTCTGTCCTGTTCAGGATTATGCAAAGCCCATCTCTGTTGTTGCAATCTGCCAAGCATAGTAAACACCTGCTGTTAGTGTCTTTATTAGGACAGTTGCTGGCATCCAAAACAATAAACACATAAAATCATTCTTATTAGGGACATTTATAAGGCAGCCATCCAATTCTGTCTTCACAAGGAGGAATGAAGTGGCTTCTGACTGGGGAATGACAAAATAGTTGACACTACCAAGAGTCTTTCTCCCTGAAGATCCCCACCCACCCTCAGGTAAAGATTGATTTGTGTGATTGTGCAGTTGTGAATGACGTGTTTCTGACAGGCTTCCCAATGGCTCTCTGATGCTGAGGTGTGCCAGGTGGGATCAGGGCCACATGCGCATCTCTCTGTGAGCCTCCATTTAGGAGTTGTCTGTGAGCGAGCAGGATCCACACTCCCCATCAGAACAGTCTGCCCATTAACACATGGCAACACTATGAAAAATCCTCAAAAACCATGAAAAATCCAGTAACGTCTCACGAGGCAAACCCTTTGTGTGGCAAAGCACAAATGGTGTTTCCTTAGACCTTAAACCACACTAATATTTAGCAAACATCACTTGGCTTCACGTACAGCCGCTGCCTGTCTATACAGATTCTGACTTAACAGATCAGTTACAGTCTGCCTGAACAGCTTGAAGAATACTTTTGTTTCCAGCTAAGCACTGACAGATCAGTCCACTTGTGGAGCGAAGAGTGCAAAGCACATGAAAGCAACTAATCCTGGATAAGAACCACATCTTTGCTCCACCAAGTGTGGTGAGTGAACTGACAGGGTAACAGGCATGGACATGTGAACCAACTGTATAGCTGGGTGTCCTAAGCACTAGTCTACAGAGTAATGCCTTCCTGATCCATGAACGCTGCACTTTTTTCTGATCAGGAATAACCTGGTTTGCACCAGATTTGCAACAGGTTGCATCTGTTAACAGATGGCTTTTGATTTTTTCAAAATATTAATATTACTTTACCTATCATTTTGTTTAATAGCTGAAGAGTTGATTTCTGCTCACTGTAGAATTCTAAATGGTTCCTGATCCAAGAAGGGGTTTTATGTCATTATTGATAGTCTGCTAGGAAAGGATCCCATTCCTTAGGTATACAAAAAAAATCCTTTCAGCCACATGGAACAAGGATTTCTTTCTGATGGATAGGCCTCTTCTAGTCTATCATTTCCTTCTAGGTGAGAGCTGATGGGATCATGAAAGTCCTCAAGGCTGAATTAGGAGGGATTCAACACCTGAGCAACGATTTTTCTTTTAAGTCAAGAAGAGCTCTCATGCAATATTTCAAAGCTATCATCAATATATGGCATTTCTGACATGCTGGGGTCAAGTTCACAGGTGTGACCAGGAAAATCTGTTTTTCTTTACTGGTATCTAACCACATCAACTCTATTTTCAACCTCTTCATCCATCATCTTTCTGTGCTTTCTATCAGTCCCTCCGTGGCATCAGCTTAAAGTTGAGTATATGGTAAGTCCATTGATTCTAGCTGGTTGCCAAATTACACATAACAACCGTGTGCATTCAATATTTTAATGTGTGGCATTTGTTTCCAGATTAGCAATGGGAAGGACACATTGCTCTTTGGAGTGGTTTCCATTATTTAGCTTACCCGTTTCAGCTACAATTCTATTTTAATCATTTTTACTACTCAGTTTCTTTACAATAACAAAAAGAATATCTCTTCTAGAATATAAATGCAAACTCAGCAGTCTAAAACTACCATCAATAAAACACCAGGAGGTTTATGCAAGGTACATTTTAACCCAGAAAAATATTTACTTCTGTGTCCTAGCAAACAGTTTATATGGGCAATGAGCCCATACATGAGGTTGCAAAAATCAGAAGGAAAAAAATGGGCTTGCTCCACGACATATATGTGAAGCATCAGAGTATCAAACATTGTTCACCACTGATTCTCACATACTGTTAGAACTTAATGTGGAAAGAACCGAATACTGAACAGATCATCATAGAATCATAGAATAGTTAGGGTTGGAAAGGACCTTAAGATCATCTAGTTCCAACCCCCCCTGCCATGGGCAGGGACACCCCACACTAAACCATATCACCCAAGGCCTCGTCCAGCCTGGTCTTGCACACTGCCAGGGATGGAGCATTCACAACCTCCCTGGGCAACCCATTCCAGTGCCTCACCACCCACCCTAACAGGAAAGAATTTCCTCCTTATATCCAATCTAAACTTCCCCTGTTTAAGTTTTAACCCGTTACCCCTTGTCCTGTCACTACAGTCCCTAATGAAGAGTCCCTCCCCAGCATCCCTATAGGCCCCCTTCAGATACTGGAAGGCTGCTATGAGGTCTCCATGCAGCCTTCTCTTCTCCAGGCTGAACAGCCCCAACATTCTCAGCCTGTCTTCATATGGGAGGTGCTCCAGTCCCCTGATCATCCTCGTGGCCCTTCTCTGGACTTGTTCCAAGTTTCATGTCCTTTTTATGTTGAGGACACCAGAACTGCACACAGTACTCCAGGTGAGGTCTCACGAGAGCAGAGTAGAGGGGCAGGATCACCTTCTTCGACCTGCTGGTCACGCTCCTTTTGATACAGCCCAGGATACGGTTGGCTTTCTGGGCTGCAAGCACACTGAAGCCGGCTCATGTTCATTTTCTCATCAACCAACACCCCCAAGTCCTTCTCCACAGGGCTGCTCTGAATCTCTTCTCTGCCCAACCTGTAGCTGTGCCTGGGATTGCTCCGACCCAGGTGTAGGACCTTGCACTTGGCATGGTTAAACTTCATGAGGTTGGCATCAGCCCACCTCACAAGCGTGTCGAGGTCCCTCTGGATGGCATTCCTTCCCTCCAGGGTATCAACCGAACCACACAGCTTGGTGTCATTGGCAAACTTGATGAGGGTGCACTCAATCCCACTGTCCATGTCAGCGACAAAGACGTTGAACAAGACCGGTCCCAACACTGATCCCTGAGGGACACCACTCGTTACTGGTCTCCAGCTGGACATTGAGCCACTGACGACAACTCTTTGTGTGCGGCCATCCAGCCAGTTCTTTATCCACCGAGTGGTCCATCCATCAAATTGATGTCTCTCCAATTTAGAGACAAGGATGTCGTGTGGGACAGTGTCGAACGCTCTGCCCAAGTCCAGGTAGATGACATCAACTGCTCTACCCCTGTCCATCAGTTCCGTAGCCCCATCACAGAAGGCCACCAAATTGGTCAGGCAGGATTTCCCCTTAGTGAAGCCATGCTGGCTGTCACCAAGCACCTTGTTGTTTTTCCTGTACCTTAGCGTGCCTTCCAGGAGAATCTGCTCCAAGATTTTGCCAGGCACAGAGGTGAGACTGACTGGTCTGTAATTCCCTGGGTCATCCATTTTCCCCCTCTTGAAAATGGGGGTTATATTTCCCTTTTTCCAGTCATCGGGAACTTCACCTGACTGCCATGATTTCTCAAATATGA